CCACAAAAAACAAAAAAACGAAAAACAAAAACCAAGTCAAAACATTGGTAAATTAAACAAATTATACAAAACAGAAACCCACTGACAATGCTGGGAAAACATCTGGACAGTAAAGGTGGGCGCGCTGTCTTCTCAGGTCCAAACAAAGATGTTTTGGAGACAATGTAACAGCTGTAGAAAGCTTGAAATTATTTTAAGAATCTAAAAAGTTATCATAAAACACAATCACAAAACTACAATGTTAGAGTGTTTTGTTTATCAGGAGCTGCGTGTAATTCCCCTCCCGTCCAGCAGGGGGCGGCGGAGCTGCGTGTTATTCCCCTCCCGTCCAGCAGGGGGCGGTGTGAGGCCGGCGGAGGCCGCGGCGTGTTGCGCAGGGCGGAGCTTTGAGTTGTAGTACGTGTGCTTCCCTGCAGTTAGCTTAAATCTAATGAGCTAACAGCACAGCTGAACGGAGGCAAGAAGAATGGTGCTGCTTGAAAATGATTCGGTAAGAGCAAAGAGTGTATAACCTGGATTTTTTTTACTGCTATTTACCATTTAAATATATAAACTGTCATGTTTGCCATGTCTAAATAGCCATAGCGTTGTGAAGCTAGCCTCACTAGCCAGCGTTAGATTGAAGCTAATTTTCTATTCGAGTCCACTGACAACCGTGTCGCCTACCAAATAAGTTGTACTTTTTGGTGTAATAACGCGTTTTAAATGCCTCCTTAGGACCCAGTGATTAAAATGTAAGGTGTTTTTATTTTTTAGTTGACTTTAATTCAATCAAACAGACTGTTAGCACTGTGTAACATGAGCTGATCCTCAGTTTGCCAAAGGGGATTTAGGGAAATAGCAGAAGTTTCCTGCCTTCTTTTCCAGCTCCCCGAATGATCCCAACTAATCGACTAAGTGCTGCCAGCAAATTTCTCCAAATCAATTGTCCTTTCTTTAGAAATTACATGTATTTGGGGGGTGATTCACCCGTTAAAAAAAAAGCTCTCCATCCTAAATATTTATATATTTTCATACGAGTGGTTTATCTATGATTGAAAACCCCTCCCTGGATCCGAGAGTGTTAAGTTTTATGGTTTATGTAAACAGATACTACGTTTTAACAGTGACTTCACCACATTTTATTCATTTGATTATAGGATAAAGGCACTGAAACAGGACAGGTAGCATACATACTGCTCAGAAAGTATAGACATTTTCTAGAAACTTTAGGTCGTTTAATTTAAATTGATCTAAAAGAACTTTCAAGTATGACAATTCCACATTTCAAAAGGCATGATATCAGCCAGTGTGTCATATGCTGACATCTACACAACTCTTTAAAAGTCACATTTGATCACCTGAATATTTGGAATATGTGTGAATTGGATACACTTCACTGAAACATGGTCATTTTTTAGCTGAGTACATAGACTTTTCTGCCATCTTTTCTAAATGTTTCACAAGAAGTCAATCAAAGTCAATAAGAAATAAACAGGCCATCAGTTTTAGTATCCATGCATCCCACTTTTCTACCGGTTTGAGCAGAATTGGGGTGCAGGTTAAGCACAGAAGCAGTAACATCCACATGTTCTGTGTTTCAGTTCCTCACAGAACTCACTCGACTCTTCCAGAAGTGCCGGACATCGGGCAGCGTGGTCATCACGCTAAAGAAGTGTAAGACAGTTAATTCCCAAATCTGCCCGCTCCCCTCTGGGTGGCAGCTTTAACACGATCTGCTCTCTTCCTCCAGATGACGGCAGAACAAAACCGATGCCCAGAAAAGGCCACGCAGAGTCTTTTGAACCGGCGGACAACAAGTGTCTGATCAGAGCGTCCGACGGGAAGAAGAAGATCAGCACCGTGGTGAGCCGGGGGGGGGCAGCCATTAGCCCTCCTACATTCTTCCTCTCTGACCATTGGCTGCCTGTTGATGCTGAAATGTAATTTCTTCTGATTTCAGGTCAGCACCAAAGAAGTAATCAAGTTTCAAATGGTAGGTGGAACAGCTTGGTGTTGTGGGTATCTCTCATCAAAGGCCTACTTTTAACCCTGAACTCTCCTTTTAGGCGTACTCCAACCTCCTCAGAGCTCACATGGACGGTCTGAAGAAAAAGGATAAGAAAAGCAAAAGCAAGAAAACAAAAGCCACCCAGTGAGCATCAGACTCTTAAAGATAACCTCGGGTTCCTAAACTGTCCTGTTGAACCGGAGGGAGCGGGTGGGGGGGGCCCCGGCGACCTGGCTCTCCTCCCCCTCACCACCGGGCTCAGAACCACCGCTCATCCACCTGCTGACCGTGTAGATATCATGCCTTCGTCTGCATGGAGGCGGCTCGTCCCCGGCTGTCCGCCCCCCCGCCGACAGGAACGGGAACCCGGAGGATTTCTCCCCCAGGAGGAGGCCAACGTCCAGCTCCTGCTCCGGGGCAGCGGCCAAATAACGGAGCCCAGGGATTACCAGCCGCCGTCTAATTTAATCTGTAGTCCTTATTTCTGATCATTTCTATTTGGAAAGATGCTTTATGCCCCCCCCCCCCTTTCTCTTTTTTTTTTTGGTTTTTTTTTTTTCTATGTGGCCGCTCAGATGAGGTGGACTAAATGGACATTGGTTACTTTTAGTTTGGTCTGAGGCCTGTTTGACGTTGATGGTTTTCCTTTGAAGAATAATAATGAATACTTTGGTGTTAAATACCTTCATCACTCTGTTGTTCATCTTAAATGGTTTAACACCAAGAAAAGTCTGTTTGTATCGATTATTCAAAGTCTGCGTTTTAAAAAAAAAGAGAAAAAAAAAGCACAAAAATGTTTCAAGTCGAAAATGAACCACAAACGTTCTTTAAGTTGTGAATCCACAGAATTGGCTGAATGTCCAACTGTTGTTTGTTTTTGAATCACATTTACTGGGCAAGTTGACCCACAGTCAGAAACTCTCTTACTGAGTCCAGAAGAGGACTGCAGCCGAATTTCAGTTCAGAAATAAAGTTCTTAGTTTAAAAATGACATTTTTTTTTTCTTCTTTCATCTATGTACTCCCACAGAAATAGTGAATAACGACGGCTTTAAGAAAACCAGGACATTAAGAACACAGTATTTACAGGCACAGGCTTGGCTGCTGCGTGGGTCAAAAACAGTCCACTGGGGGGGGGCTCACAGGGCGGTGGTCCTCCGGTCGGGCCGGTCCTTCGGGGGGGGGCTGAGCTGCTGCTGGCGGGCGCTCTCCTCCTGGTAGCCCTGCTGCATCAGGCCGCTCACGTACTGGAACATGGTCTGAGTCCAGAGAAGGACCGTCACACCACAGGAGAATCCCCCCCTCCCCCCCACCAGGAAATGAGGAGTATCAGACACATTGTGTGTTTTATGAAATGTTTTTGCAATTTGGTTCTGATGGTCCAAAATACTCATTTTACTACATTTGAATTACACAATAAGAAAATGATTGGTTGAAAATGTATAAAACCATTTTAATTTGGATTTCAAACAGTAGGACTCTATGGCGTCTGCTATGGGGGGGGTGGGTTGTCGTGGGAACGGCGGCCCCTACCTTCCAGGCCTCCTCCAGCTCGGCCGTCCAGTGCTCCTTCAGGATTGGCTGCACGGCACAGATGAACTCCGCCCCCACGTACTGCAACACAGAGAGCAGAGGGAGAGAGAGGCTGGACTCTGTCCGGGGGGGTTCGGGGGGCTTGTGGGGGTGGGGGGGCGGGGCTGGGTCGGGCCTTACTCCGTAGTACTTGGGGGGGGCGTTGTAGTGGTAGTGGCTCCTGCCCAGCTCCACGGCCAGCGCCTCCAGCCGGTCCAGCTGCTCCAGCCGCGCCACGCTCTTCTCTATGAACGACATCACCCTGGGACGAGCAGACACATGTCTTCAGAACGGGCCAAAGGGTTGTTTTTCTGTGTGTGTGTGTGTGTCGGCCCCTCACTGTGCAGGACTGTGTGTTAGTTTCCCCCACCGCCCCCCCCTTTTCTCTCTGTGAGTGTGGCTGTGGATGTCCACGCTAAGGTCCTTAAATGCAGCTTTTGGGCCTCAGTGCTGCGTTCAGGAGCAGGCGGCTGCAGCAGGACGTCCCGGTTGTCAGACCCCCCCCCGGAGGCGCCGTTCAGCCAAGAAGTTTTGGGCCAAAAAGCGGTCTTCTTGTCCTCCATTGTTGTAAAATGAGAGGAAAGCTAAAGAGGCAAAAGCCAACATGGAGGAGATGCATTGGTGGGACAAAGCCCCCCCCACCCCCCCCCCGAACACGTGAATGAGCTCCGTCCAGAAGCAGCCGCTGCCCTTTGCTCTCTGCTGTCAGCCGGACCGGTCACAGCTCTGAGTCAAACGGGCTCTTCCTGCTGAGACCAGTGAACCGGAGGCCGTTCAGCCGGTGGGGGGGCAACCCCACAGGGGGCCCCACAGATGGACCTGTTCAGTGACCCCCCTGCCCCCCCCCCCTTACCGCAGGCCGTGGGCCCGGAGCTCCCGGCTGGTCCTCAGCCCCTCCAGGTCCTCCACGTCTCGGAACAGGAAGAAGACGTCTTTGCACTCGGGATGGGTCTCAAACAACCTGTCGCCAAGACAACCGGCAGAAGAATCAGCCATCCAGGAGCCTCTGAGGAGGCTGCCTGTCGCCCCCCCCCCCCCCCCCCCGCAGCCAAGCCCCCGAAGCCTCATTACAGACAGCTGCAGATTTAACCTGGTCCAGGTTTTGAATCAGAGGCATCCTCCATGCAGCTCTTTGAATGGAGATCTGAGCTGCATTCTCTGACCTTGCTCTGATAACCCTGACCCTAACCCTAATCCTGACCCTAACCCTGACCCAACAATTGTGGAGCGTTTGCTGCCATGCAGAGAAATCTATAGAGATCCATTCTATTGACACCAGCACGCTCAGCACGAGCCGCCATGAGGCTCCAAAACCCGTTTCATGTGTGTTCATGTTTGCTTTCTGCTTTACGCTCACCTCATGAATTTAAACCCTCAACATCCCAAGTGTTTCCTTCAGTCTTTCCAGATCCAGCCCCGGCTTTCCTCTTGCCCGACAGATGGTCGTGTCCAGGCTGTTTCTGGGTGCTCCTGCTCCCAGAAACACCGGCTGCCCGGGACGTTTGCATGGCCGACGCATCAGGGGACGTTTTCTGCCTTTTTTTTACTCCCACCAGCTCCCCTCACCACAGCAAAGAGAAAAGGAAACGGCAGCCTCCCCCCCCCATCCCCCCCATGGACACCAAAACCTGAGCAGACGCTGTGGAAAAACTGGAGTGGGACTACAGGTTTTTCTGCTGTTCATCACTTTCTGTTCCTCTGATTCTGAGCAGTGAGCGGGTGATTCCTCTTTGCCGTTTTACACAAATGGTTGCCCCCCCCCCCGGATTCTCACGTACTTCCAACCCCGTCAGCCCCGAGGTCCATCCGCCTCCCAGCTGCACACCCAACCCTCTGCAAATGGTCCTCATCACCCCGTTTCCTGGGTTTAACTCACCCAACAAAGCCCCTCAGACCCCCCGGTTTGCTTTGACTGAGGACTGTGGCAGAGCAGGAGCTGTGCCTTATTACGTAATGATGCTCTGACCCCCCCCTCCCCAGCTCTCCATGAAATAACTACCTAACAAACAACAACAGGGGTCAGGGGACTGCTCAGGGACGGGTGTGTGTGGAGGAGGGATGCTGCGTTTGAGGCTCCTCAAAGGTCAGGGGCCGTGTCACCAGCCCTGGACGCCTCAGGAGCCCCCGGAGACCAGGGGTCAGCAGGCCCAGCTGCCCCCCCCCCGAAATGTTCCCTTTTTATTGGGAGGACACAGATGTCATCAACAATAAAATGAACCTGTTGATGTCCTTTGTTTATCTGATTTGTGCTTAAAAAAATGACATTAAAAGCACCACCACTCACAAAGCCTGTTTCCAAACGGGTCCACCTGTAAATCACACCTTTTCTAAACGGGGGGGTGCTTATTCGTCATCCCTAAACGGCTCTTACCGGTACTCTGTCCGGCTGAGGGTCAGTTTTACCGGGTCCTGTTCTGGGTTTTGAACCCTCGGAAATCCCAGCTGCGCCAGAAAAGTTTCCTTTTTTAAAAAAAAACAAAAAACATCTTACCTGACGAACATGATAATCCCAACTTTGGCTATGTCGTCCCGGATAACTTTCCACGACTCTTTGATCATGTGGATCTGCTCGCGCCCGGGGCGCGCGGCGGTAGCGGCGTCCTCGGGGCTTCTTCCCGCGAGCGCAGCCCTGGCCGCCAGAGCCGACATGGCGCAGCCCATCCTTCATCCGGAGGGCGAGAGAAAAGCGTTCTGTGCCGGTCCCGGAAAGTAGAGCGGACGGTTTAAGGGGCTCGTGCAGCCGGAGGGAACCTGCTGGCGCGAGCGTGCGTCTCCAGCTCCGCTCGTTCTGGGGAGCGGGGGGGAGGCGCGCGCGGAGGGGCGTCGAGTGCGCAGACGCAGAGCGAAGCAGGTCCCGGTGTGCGGGTCCAAATAAACACCGGGTCCGGTTTAATGTGAAACCCAGTACCGGACTCTTCCGGTGTGGGCGTGCGTTTCTGTCGGTTTTACGCTTAAATGGAACCAAACGCACCCCCCCCCCCTTCTCAAACCATTTTTTTTCAATTCCTGATCCCCCCCTAGTTTTATATCTCAGAGCATTGGATGTTAAGTTACTTTGGAAACGAACCATGTCAGATTTTAATGGAAACCTGTGAGGCTGTACATGTGAAACACGCCATGTTCTGCAGCTGCTGTTAGTCCAGGATCTGTACAAACCGACCAAAATATACAGGGGGGTTTCTCTTCATAAATTATTTTCAGGAAAATATACAACTTACAGAGAAAAATAAAGCTCCAGTGATCCGGCTCCAGAGGCAGCTGGAGGAAGTCGTCGTCTCTTTGTGCGCTGAGCTTCTTTGGTAAACCAACAACAGCCTTAACCCCTTTGGCATTTTACGGGTAACAGATAGAAATGCTATGCTGGCCATAGCAACCAAATACAGGTGATAATAAAGCATTGGGTTCCAAACAGATTATACACGTGCTGTTACACCATCTCATTACTGTGCAGACAAACACCCAGTGTAGAAACATTGCAATCCACCTTTTTGTTTAAAAAAAAAAAAAAAAACATACTTTCCC